TCGGTCGCCCCCGTAACCCTGGCGGTTTGTTTGCAGAGACGGCCCTGGAAAGAGGAGAAATGCAAGAGGAGGGAGAGTGAGAGGGGTAAGGAGCTCCCGGAGCTGCGTGAGTGACCCCCGCCCCTCACCCCGGGGGCTCCCTCTGGCCGCACTGGGAGGGATGGGATGGGACGGGACGGGACGGGGCGGGACGGGATGGGCCGCAGGTCCTGGTGTGGGGGATTTGAAGTCACTTGAGCTCCAGGGTGTGGGAGAGGGAATTGACCATCTGGAAGGAGCTGAGGCACAGGGTACGTTCCCTGCCAGGCACCTGTTCCGACAGAGGCTCCGTCAGTTGGGGTGGAGGCTACACGTGTCAGGGAATGGCACCAAAGATGTTCTAGCTCTGGTGTGTGAGTTTGGGGTTCAGGACTTTGTCCGGCATGTTTGGGGTATTCCTGATGTGCATCCAGATGTGCTTGTTCTAAAGATGTAGCAGTGCTTGAACTTTTTGGTGCTTATGAGCTTCATGGAAGCATTTTTGCATTTGATCTAACAGCCTGCGTGGCCTTCAGCATCCTTAGTATTTTGCAGCAATTAAGCCTAAAAGCTTCTTGTTATTGAACAAAGATCTTGGGCAGACATAAAACGACGTTGTAAATCATTCCTGAATGTCATACTCAGGGCCTTTTGTCAACTGAAAACTCTACACCAAATAGAAGATAAAAGCTAGGTATCTGGAGAATAAAGAAAACCATATTAAAAGTCAACCTCTAAATACATGCATATCCAACCTTGATTATGCCTTCCAGAAACACAGCCTCTACCTCACCGTATACTTGCACGTGCTTTTATCTGTCTGTTTATGATTAAAGTGATGACCTGCAAAGAAGTATAAGTCCAGCACGTTAAGTATGTGATTCTATGAAGTACTCTGAGATCTAAACTCCAGATTCCTTGTCCCTTGTGAGTTCTCTGGTTCACTCGGTTGTTTATTTGGTGTATGTACGTTTGTGGTCTGTACATAGAAGGTGTTTTTGGTTTATATCAGGAGGGTACGTTGACATCTGTCTGATACTAGACTGGTGAATAGGAAGAAGGTCCCATCTCTGGCCTGTTTGTGGAAGCTGGGATGATGAAGGCACTGCAGTGGGAACGTGCTGTGGTACAGGGTTGAAGCTCCAGCCCATGTCTGGTAGTTATAGAGCAATTGGAAGGGTTACGTGCAGAGTTCTGGTAAAGTAAGTGTGAGCAGCATTAAAGTGGGGGCTGTGAATAGGGGTGCATGTTTTCAAAATATCCTTTAGCCTAAAAGTGGGGTAGGGGAGGGACAGCTGTGGGTATTAGGGCAGTAGTTTGCTGGAGGAATCTTACCTTTGTTTTCTCCCTTTGGAAGACTGGCTTGCTAGTGAGATTGCATGAAAGCTTCAACTCTTACACCATTTCTCCTTTTCTTCCACATTCTTATAACTTCATCACACTTCAGCCTTTCAAGTCAAAAGTTTTGAGGCCTGATATCTGCTCAAGCCTGAAGATTTTTGGATGGGGAGGTAGATTCTAAGAGAGTTTAATGAAAACAGTGTAGTCATCTTTTGAGAATCAATAAGAGCCTTATTTTGACTTGCACACTTCATAAACTGAGCAAACAAAAGCAAGGTACTCTGAAGTTCTGGTAGGGGACTACTAGATGGAGACGGGCAGCCACTGAGTGCCCTGGCCTGTGCTAGTCTAGATTTTAGAATCTGGAAATGGAGTTGCCTTTCATTCCTTGTACTCTTTAAATAAGAAAGCTGTTGTGAGATTTTTGTTTAAATTGGCATCTTTCTGTTTAACTCCTGAAGTTTGCAGTTGAATCCAAGGGAGTCTCGGGCAATGACAAACTTTCTTTGGAAAATGCGTCTGATTATTATATGAGACTTTATGTTTTTAAAGAATCAGGTTCACTTTGATGTTTTTGATGTGGAAGCTAGGCAAATAAGGGCTTACTTATTTTACAAACAAAAACAAACAAACAAACCCAAAAAAAACCCAAACCCAAAGTTGGCATTCCAAACAAAAACCCCCTCTTGATTCAGGTGGTGCTCTATTGCCAAGAATGTGCTATCTCTTCATGTATGCCCATCTTGTGGAAGAAAAAAGTCGTGTAATTAAGCGTTACATACATAGGGCCTTGCTGTGGGCAGTGTACTTAATAATTAATTTGGCTCAGAAAAGAAAGCAAAGGAAGGAAGGTAAGAGTCTTGCCCCATCAAATTCTGATTGAATCACAGCAATGTAAATCCAGAGTAATTCAGTCAGGCAGCTAGCAGTCTGACTGCATGCCACCAATGCAAGGTAAATAATTCATTCTTAAGTGTGTTTATTGGTTGATTTGTAGTGAGTGAGTGAGGCAGGAATACTTGGCTTTGCTGTTGCGTGAGCAATTCATAAAAACAAAATTATCAGGTAATTTGGTTCATTTAAATACTGCTTCTCTACATACAGGAAAATTATCTTTGCATTTTGGCTCACATGCAGCAATTCCACATGCATTTATTCTCCCCTAATATACTTCTGGAAAGTAAATGTTTCATGCTACTTGGGGCATGCTCCTCAGCTTGTCTGATGATTGAGATAGGCCCTTCAGAAACAATATTTACTCATTAATTAGGCTACTGCCACATCATAACAGAAACAAGAGTGGGACAATTTGCAGGTAGCTGCATGAGAAACCTACAGTGTTTGCTTTCTCTAAGCAGCTTGCTCTGCCAGATGTTCTCTGAGCATAGTTTTTATCACATGTATTTTACCTACCAGCTTTGCCGTATTTATTCAGGAGTAGATGTATCTTCTGCTTCAGAAAATAATTATTTTGTTAATTTCTTTAGGTTTTTAATAGCATTTTTTCACGAGTGTAACAAACTTTGTCCGCTAATGCTATTACACAGAGGAAGTAAGGATTGGAAAAGAAAGGGTTTCTTCAGCCAGGTGTTCCTAAAGAGATTACTCCTCTGTCTTCAGAGGGCTATCTTTTGGTGTCTAACTGGTCCTCAGACTGCATGGAGAGTTGAGATGAAGCAGTGGGCACTTGACTAGGGACAGAGTCCTACAGAATCTTGTCCCAAAGGTGGGAATGAAATGGGCAATGGAGAGCCATGACATGATCTCACTTTGAGATAGAGTATCTCAGGAGCCAGGGTAGTCAGGTTATTTTCCCACTGCCTAGTCTCGTTGGATGAGAGTGGAGGATCTTGTCTGTCAGGAATATTGAGTGATATTTCCGGGTTTCTTTTGAGAGTGGGGCTGGGGCGGGCAGCGTGGTGGGCAGCAGGAAGTTAGGAGCCCTAAGTTTGACTTCTGGGTCTGCTATGGCTGTCTGTTATCTTGGGCAAGTCTGTTTCCCTCTCTCTGCCTGTCTTTCTTCCTGTGTAGCATAATGCTAATGTCCCCTTGCTGCATCTGGGTCCTTAATATTGAGCTGGGGTGGTGGGACAGGCAAGGTCCAAAATTTTCCATGCTTGTGGGTCAGACTGTCCATAACAGTGAAAAACTGGTTTTCAGCTGTATTTGCCTGGTTGCAGATGCACAGACTTCATCATTTATGTCATGTACTTGGGTGGATGATAGTTGGGGAATTTTGGAGGTGTTCTGGGTTTGTAGTCTTTTTTTTGCATGGAGGACTATTGGGCAAGAGGCATTTGAGATGGACCCAAGCGTATGGGAATAGCAGACACCTTTCTCCCCTGATAATAATTTTTGGATTTGGGCAGATAGCTCAAAAGTGGGAGCAGTTGCTTGAGTAAGACAGGGGAGATTAAGGAACTGTCACAGCATTAGACTGAGTCAGTTCCATGTTGGAGTCTCTTTGGGTTTAATGTTCTTTTTGTGTCTGTCTGTCTGTCTGCCTTCTCCTCCACTCCTCTTTCCTTTCCCCCATTCTTCTTCCCCTCTGTGCCCAGCTAGGATGGAAGAATCTCATTTCAACTCCTCCCCGTACTTCTGGCCAGCAGTGCCCACCGTTTCAGGACAGGTAAGATCTGGTCTTGCTTCCTGTTGGAAGTTCATGCATGATAAGTGTTTCTGTTGCATTTCTCGCTCAGCCAACTGCTGGGAGAAGCTGTGCCAGGGAATTCTAAAAGCTGTTCTTCCCACCTGTTTAGATTGAGAACACCATGTTTATTAACAAGATGAAGGAGCAGCTATTGCCCACAGAGAAGGGCTGCAGCCTGGCTCCCCCCCACTACCCTGCCTTGCTGACAGTACCCACCTCTGTGGCCCTACCCACTGGTATTTCCATGGACTCCGATACCAAACCGGAGCAGCTGACACCACATAGCCAAGCCCCTGTGACTCAGAACATCACCGTGGTACCAGTGCAGTCTGCTGGGCTCATGACAGCAGGTAGGCGACTCCAAAGACTTTGGCAACATACAAAGGAGGCTCTGGGTTGGGGGGACAGGGAGTCCTGGAGAATCCTATTTGGGCTGTAGATTGTTCCTAGACTTACTGATGTTGTGCACTGCCTTGGCGTGGTTTCACTGTGAATCTCTAGGCACTCTGTACATCCACCCTCTTTATGGAAGTTTGACTTCCAGCAGTGGAGACTGGGAAGGTGTTGGGGAGGGTAAGCCACTCTTCTGTTTGCACTGTAGTCAGAAATAGGTGTATAAACCTTGTTTCTGTGGGATAAGGAGGTTGGACATAATTAGCGATGTGATAACTGACTTCTTCCATCTTTCTTTGTTTGCAGGTCCTGGTCTGGTGATAACTTCCCCATCAGGTTCCCTGGTGACCACAGCCGCCTCTGCCCAAACCTTTCCCATCTCAGCTCCCATGATTGTCTCTGCGCTACCCCCTGGCTCCCAGGCAGCCCTCCAGGTCGTTCCTGACCTGTCCAAGAAAGGGACAACCACCCTCTCTGAAGGTGGTGCAGGTGGCGGGGGTGGGGGAGTTGCCCCCAAACCGCCTCGAGGCCGGAAGAAGAAACGATTGCAGGAGTCGGGGCTGCCAGAGATGAGTGACCCCTTTGTGCTGTCAAACGAGGATGATGAGGACCAGCACAAGGATGGCAAGACATACAGGTGGGGAGCGGGGTTAAACCTTGAGTGCAACATTGCATGGGGATGGGGGTGTATTTAATCCTTCAGAGGGTTACATGGGGAAGAAGAGATCTCTGCCTTTTCCCTGTAGAGTCCCTGAGTAGAGAATCTTTCAGCTGCAGAAAGAGTTGAGTTTTCTCTCTAACCAGGAGTGCTTGCAAGCTGGTGGATTGACCTAAAACTAAGGATCTCCTTCTTAGTGGACAGCCTTGATTTCCTGACTATACAGATGTTAATGTTACTAGGTTAGTTAATGACCAGGATATTATGGAGGCTAAAGCGTATCCTTGATGCCACAGCCAGGTACTATGGCTGGTGTACTGCAGAGTGCAGTACTGTCTGGTGCAGCTGGAGCACTTCTGGTGTAGCTCAGAGCCCTGGTGTACCTGGGTCTTCCTGAATTAGCTCCAGTCTGTCCGGTGTAAAAACTACAAACTGGAGGCACACAGAGCAGGAAGTGAACTGTAGTGATAGTGTCCGCTCCTGTGTGTGTTGCCCCTTGTGATCTCCTATTTCAGTGTTCCTAGCAAAACAGAAAAAAAATGTATTTCTGAATTAGGTATAAGGGTATTTCTGAGCCCTAAGGGTATCAGATAAGAGGGGTGAGAGTTCAGAGCCCTGAGGTTGGGTTTCTAAGCTTGGAGGGATGTGGCTTGAGTTTACAAGTGAGTGGTGGGAAAGGGAGAGATTAACTAGGAGGGAATACTTAAACTAGAGGATAAGGAGTGTGATTTTTTTTTTTATTAATTTTTTTTTTTAGAGAAGGTGGGAATTGGACAGAGCAGGCAAGTGCTAGGGAGGAAGTGTGATGGTCTCTTAGTTGGGAAGCGGGAGCATATACAGGTGATTTAGTGATAGGTGTTTCTGAGGGATGATTAAGATGAATAAGAGGTAAAGTAGTAGCCAGATGGAAACAGAAATAGAAGTTGATCACTAGCTCTTCTTGCTTCCCTACTATGTGCCCATGATCTTGTCTCTAACAGTTCTAATGGTTTCCCTTTTACCTTCCTAGACCCGTGTTTTGTTTTGGGTTTTGTTTTTTTTTTTAGATTTAGTTTTGTGTCTGGAATTAAGTCATAACAATATGAAGGCATCTACAGAGAATCAGTCCATCCACCCCAGGCACTGTTTCATTTTTAACTATAGCATTTTAAAAATGTTTACGTTTTTAAATCAATACGGTTAAATGGATACTAAACGAGAGCTTGGATCAGCCTTTCTATTCTCTTACCCAATGTCCCAGTTCTTCCACTTTGAAAATATAATCAGCGTATGGTGAAGAGGGGTGGGAGTGTTAGGTAGCTTGCTATTTGTAATCCCACCATTTATTTTGGGCCTTAGCCACAATTCCACACTACTCAAGCTGCTTACAGTCTGAGTTGCTAATTAGGTTGTTAAATATGTATTTACAGGGGACACAATTGGCAATGAACACTAGAATTAAAGCTGAACCGAGGCTTTAATTATAGCTCCTTGTTTACTTGTAAGTTTGGAAAAAAATGCCCAAGACCAGGTGGAGTGACTCAGCAGAAAGTTTATGAACATGCATAGTCTGTGTAACAGCTCATGAAAAAGACTTTGCAGGGAAAAAACAAATGAGTTTATACGTAGGAACATGTAATCACGAAGATTTCCTGTCTTCATGTTTAGTCCGAGTGTGGTCCCTCTGCCTCTTCCTCCAGCCCCCATCGCAAGCAGGCCTTCCTCTGAGCAGTGCTAAGGTGCGAGCTAATTAAAATGAGTTTTATTGAAAACCACCAAGGAGTACTTCTGCCCTCCTTGGGATCTCCTCTTTGGCTGATGCTTTCTATGTGCAAGTTTGGAACTAAAAATGATTATTGAAAAAATAAAGGAAAATACTATCTTCTCTTGGTGCAGTGGGAGAGAAAACCTTTGTGAAATACAGTAAAATTGTTTCTCCATAATATGTGTATGAATAGACTTGCAAGTTAAAACTCTGGGGACTCCTGGGTTCCTTCTGTATTCTAGAGGATGATTTGGGTAGTTCCCGTTACTACAGTATGCGGACATATCCTAGCTAAATTAAGACTGTGGGTGAGGTTCATCTACTCCTGTTCCCTTCTCAGCCTGGAGGAGGAGTTGCTTGTAGTATTCGTATGTCTACGTTTGTATGATTTCACTGATTGTTATGATGATACACTGAGGACAACCTAGTCAGATGCCTGGATGGAATTGTACTATATTGATCGATGACAGGTTTTTTTTTTTAATACTCAATTCCTAAAGCCTGGGATTATTTTGACAAATTGAATTATTTTTTGTTTTAAGTTTCTTTTTGAGCTCTGTGAGCTCTCTTGTTCTGAGTGCCTGGGCAACTGGTTATTTCCATAATTCCTGACTCCTAGTGTGATTCTGAAGATGGAGTAAGGCCTTGAATGGGCAGCACAGCAAAGCAGGCTTGGAAGGAATTGGAGTACAAAGGTGATACATGTATTGCAGCGCATCCCGTTCTCTACTGAATGTAGAGATTCCTGATCAAGCAAATGGCAGCTGTTTTACTGCTGTATCATCTCTGGAAGTGAATTAGTAGTCTGCTGTGAAAGTGGTGCAAGAATCTTTGTGACTAGGTTTTTCTTTGTAAGAAAAGGTGTGAGGCTTTTGCTAATGATGGTGTTGCTTGCAGATTTTGGACATCTAGCCTTAGGATTAGTCTGGCAGAGTCCTTAGTGCTTTGCTTTCTGCTATTAGAAGAATGCTTGTACCTGCAGGGGACAGCATCTAACCCAGTCCTGTGAAGCATTTTCCTTCATGAGTAATGTCACTTCAGTCTCGTCTGGATTCATTGTCAGCTCTTTGTTAATCTTCCCTGACATCTTTGTAGAATTTACTTTTTCTTTGGAAAATAAAATCAGCATCAAGAGTCTTTCTAGTAAGATGCTGGCAGTGTGAAGCACATGACTTCTTCTCAGTACTTCAGAAGGTTCTGAGAAAGACAGAGTGAGCATAAGTCCTGGAGATAGTAGTATTGTTTCCTTAGTACTGTTTTGGTGCCTGTACCTGTGCACTTTTAGAAATTTGTGGTGTGATGTGATCAGTGGACAAGGCTGATGTTCAACAGTTCTCTAAATAGTTTCTTCTTTGAAAGAGGAAGAAAACTGTCTATGGGCATTGCTTGGTTCCAGTATTAAATTTGTAAAGGCTAGGACGAATACCAGTTTATAGTCTGGAATAGTTTTGCAAGCTGTGCTTTGGAGCCTAGGATACCAACAGAAGGGGGGTAGGCTTGAGAAGGACCTTGCCATCATACTGTAACCAACAAGCTCTCTGTTCCCCACCGCTCGTTCTGAGTTTCCCTACTAGGTTGTGGGAACAGTAGGGCATTTGGGAGATAGTAAGCAACTGAGGGACGTAGGAAGCTTCTGAGATGAGTCCAGAGTCCAAAAGTGTACAGAAGCCTTAGAAGGCTTAGCAAGAAGTAGAGTTGAGCTGTAGAAGGTGAAGAAGCTGGATGGAGGGCCCCTTTAGTGAGGAAATTAGATACACAAGGGGAGCCAGTGGTTTGAATACAGCAGGCAGGCATGTTCTCAGACATATCTCATTTTAATCCTTTTTTTCTGCCCTGTACTGGATTTAGCATTGCTGTGTGGTGAACTTCGTGTGGTTTTGAATAGATTTGAAATCTGGTGGCTGTGGCTTTTTTAAGACACATATATCTATGAGAATATGGTCAAATTTGGCCAAGTTGTAAGCTTGGAAAAAATCTGTTAAGCATGCTCTGAGATGCTTTATATTTTGGTAGTTGAAATATGCAAAGATTACGTCCTCTTTGATGTTTCTTGAGGCTTGCATGACTCCAGGCACTGAACAGACTGTGTCCACAGAAGAGAGAAATACTCTTTAACCTCAGTTTCTGTAGGAGGCTGGAATACACGTGTACTCCCTCTGCAGCAATAAGGATCTTCTCAACTAGTCCTGAAGAGCCAAGCGTGCTTTTCCATCAGTCCCAGCTGCTCCTCTTTCTGCTTCAGAAGGGAGTCTTTTGTGCCCAGTGTTGACAGTAACCTCCCCCCTCTGATGAGCACAAAGGCAAGGTGTGAGAAGACGCTGCTTGGTTCAAATGTAGTAGGGATGAGAATGAGATATGGGCAGGGCCTGGAGCTGATTGTGTCCAGGAAGTCTGGAAACTTGGTAGAGCAGAGATGAGAATCGGAAAGGAGGAGTGAGAAAAGGCAGAAGCCTACAAACTAGGGAATGAAGCAGAGGACATGATGGGGAACCTATTTGCAAGGGAGAGATTGCACAGAGAGAAGCCATGAAGGGACAAAACTGAGGGGAGGGAAGAAAGAACCAGATCTGCTAGGGGCTGGAAAATGGGGAGATACCTAGAATTAGCAGAACAGATGGGAGCAAGAGCATGGGATGTGAACAGACAGATAGAAGTATAGAGGAGAGGAGACAAATGTTAGGTAATTGAGGGAATGAAACAGGGAAGAGCCACTGCAGTACAGGATAAAGAGGCTGGGACATGTCGGTAAAGAGCTTGGGCCAGGGTCTTGGTGCAGGAAAGAGGGCATTGCAATAGGCAGGGAGGCTAAGGGCAAGGGGGAAACTAAAGTTTGAAGCATCAGGCAGAAAGTTTGACCGCATTCCCTCCAAAGCCTAGAAATATTAAACCCAATATTTCTAAATTTTGCTATGTCTCTGATGTCAGCACAAGAACCGGATCTCCTCTGGCAAAGAACCTCATCCCTCTCTAAGGCTAGAAAAAGTGACAACTACCATTGCTATCATTTGTAATCCTAGCTGCAGTGGCAGAGGTCTGTGCAGTGGGTCTTAAGATTGCTGATGACCAACATGGGTGTCAGTATGATGCCACATGTTGGAATTTCTGTTTGCTTTTTTTAACAAGTAGTTCCGTGAGCAGCGGAACTAATGAAGCCTGGTTTCCAGCGGCTCTCTCCTGTGTGGATTCTCTGATGTCTAATCAAGGGTGAGCTTACTAGCCTTTCCCTCAGCAGGGG